AACAAGGCATGTGATGCAGGGATATGGGAAGGAAAGGCTGGGGAGGTTGACTTGGCAGCCTGAGAGGTGAGCTAGGATCCTTGCTCTTTGATCTACTGGATTCAGCTGAATAATTGGGGAAGAGTTGAGAGTTAATGCTACTGGCAAATATGACAGAATAAAATTAGTGGGAATATTCACAAATCTGCAAGGAGTTGGTAAAACAGGGTAAGAGTGAACTATTAAAATGGAGTTATTAATTATTTAATGGAATAAACATTTACTGAAAGAGTTGAGTTTTCCAATCAAGGCTTCCAGTTGACTTCGGTTTCCCATGAGCATTTGAGAAGAAGGAAGAAAAAAAAAAAAAAAAAAAAAAAAAAAAAATGTACCTGGGAGCCAGGCTGCAGGAAACTTTCGTGTATTCACATCTTGATAGCAACCAAACCAATACAGCAGTACTGGCTTGTAATACTTCAAACATCTCCAATGATATCATTTTTCGCCAGCTGTGAATGTCTTCAACATTTTCCTAAGAAATGTTCTAAGAAATGACAATATCCTCTATTATAAAGTTTTCAATAGTAGTAACCTCTAAACTCCTACCCAAGCGTAAAGTGTCGCTGTGCTTTGTGTGCAATTATTGGGCATAAAGTCCCTAAGTTTATTTTCTCCTCCTCTTTCTCTCTCCTAGGTTTTAGTACCACTGGAAAGCTCTTGAAAGCTTCATGACTATTATAATGAAATCTAATGAAGTGTTTTTTCTTTAACTCTATTAAGATATTTTCACGTGAAACTTTGTTTCAGAATGGAGCTATTGTTGTAGAATATAAAGGATTTAAAGACAAAGAAGAGTTTTATAAGATATTAATGATACCATTAGATGCATTTAGCTAACACAGCATTAGAATAGTGAAATATTTTTACTTAAATTAACCAATTAATTATGTTATAATATCAGAATAAGGGCAAATATATTTTAATGAGATATAGTATTTTTTCAGTAAACTTTTGTCGTTAACAATCATTTACAGGAGGAGTTGGTCAGCCAGAAATTTTAAAGTTGATAGGCCAGCTGTCATGTGTTTGGGCACTCGAAACTACCTACTTTCCATTTGTAAATCTTAGTTGGTTTAAATATAGTCAAAACTTGTATTAGATGAATCAGAAATTGTTACTGTGAATTGACTTAACAAAGAAATCATAGGTAATTTAAAACTTCTGTCCAAAACAAAGATGAGAAGAACACTTTTTTCATTGGTAAAATTTGGAAGCAATTGGTGGTAGGAAGCAATGTTTTACGTGCAGTGCTCTTTTGTCGAAGCTGGTAGGCTCTATCCATGCTGAGGACATGCTGGAGAAATCCTTGAAGCTTCTTCCTTAATCTTACCTGAAACTTTAAATGACCTGTAATGTGCAAGTCACTAGTCTTAAAAACTAGACAGTTACAGCTTTAACAGTTAGCTGCTTTTATTGCTGCCAGGCCCATTTATCTGGGAAACTACCCTGTGTGTATCTTTTTTAGCTCTGGAATTGTGTTTTGTTTTATTTATATTTTTAATGTATATATAAAAATCTAGGGAGTTTCCAATGAAATAAGCCTTACTTTATTTGGTATCATGTACATTTTGCTCAGAAAGTAGAGAATCGTGTCACAGGATCTGGGAATTAGCCACCCTAAATATCAGGCTGCAGTTAATGAATTGTTATATGAAATAGTGACCTTATTTTTTAATTTTATTTTACACACAGTAGTTTTCAGAAATAACCATTGTGCTTTCAATTGAGAAGCTAATTCTGTTAATTTTTTTTCTTTGCATCATTAGTACCCTTGTAGTTACTAACTCCTTGTTGATGTGTTAAGGGCTTGTAGACCAGGGTGAATCAAGAGAAGCTCCTGCTTGTTCATGAGGAGGAGTGAGGCTGTGAGGTGCAGACTTCACTGTAAGCAAGGAGGGCACTACAGGCAAGTCCTCACGTTAGCACAGCACCACATGTTTTCTGCACATGGAAGATATTTAGATGAGAGAAGCTGGGCAAAGACACCTCCGAATATTAGTGGTCAGCAGCTGCTGGGTGATGGAGCGCCCAGTCCTTGGGAGGCTGCTAGTGGTGGCACTGCTCACTTATTTCAGGATGTTAGCCAGGTGACTGAGTCACCAAATAGTTACCAGAGCACCAGGAAGTGATGCTGTTTTAGACCTGGTATGGAAGAGTAGCAAGGTCTCTGCAGGAGAGGTGCCTCTAGAAAATGAGCTTGGGTTATGTGACCACTGGTTGGTTCATAAATTCTGCAGCCAAGATCACAGCTATTCAAAGGGTGCGCTTAAGGGCTTTGCCTGTTGGTGCCTCTGCAAAGACAACTCTGACTGTTGAGGAGACTAGGAGGTTATGCTTTTGCAGCTATTAAACTATAACTTTATCCTTCTAGACCTTCATTAAGGGGAAATATTTTAGAAAACAGATCCATATTTAGTTGAATGGTTGTTTCAATACAGTTACATATTAGCCATGACTATAGGGGTGAAGAAAAAAGGAAGGATTGCCAAAATTGGGCTGAGTTGCATTGTGGAAAGACTGTAAAATAGTATGAAAAGATTGTTCAGCTGCCTAAGTAAAGGCTGTTGTTATATGAGGGAATAGATAAATGTTGTTAAATGTGAGGTGAGTTTAAGCATAATCCCTCAGTTAAATGAATCCCTGTTGAATACTGGAACACTATAACATAACCTGCTATTTTTCCTTGGATTTGGTATAAAGGAAAAGGGAATATGGAAATAGCCACAATGGTGCTAGTAAAACAGTTCTGTGATCTTAGGTGCAGCAGAAACTGGGGTCATTGATTTTGAAAATGCTGCTCATAAACTTAGTGATGGGGTTTTGGGTCTTACCAAATTAAGCAGGTCAAGGAGTGTATGTTGTGAAGAACAGCTAGTCTAGTATTCGCTGAAATGGAGTATGAAGTAAATATCTAAGCAGCTACCACAACGTATAGGATCTTCCACAAAATACAGAAGTTTAAATAAGACTCTCTAAAGTAGAAAATTGAATAAACTTCAGTATGTGTTAAGCAAATATAGATTGAAATTGGGGGGAAAAAATGCTGTACCTAGATTATAAACTTACCTGAATTATTTTGAAAGCTTTTAACAATTATAAGATGTGGAATGGCCTGCCAATTGCAATAGCAGTGGCCCCAAAAAAAAGGCTGGAAAGAGTGCAAGAGGGACATGCTCTGGGCGAGAGAGTCTGGATCCCGAGCTGGTTCCTTGTGGTGCCCCAGCTGTTTTAGGAAGGTGATCGTACCACCTAGGGTCATTCTGCTCCCTAGAAACACTGAGAGAGGAGGGGAAAAGAGTATGGAAACAAGGATTTCACACGTTCTGTGGAAGAAAACCTTCAATGCTGTTTGCTCACAAAGCTTCTGTGAACAATCATGGAAAGGAGAGCAATCTAAAAGCTTAAAAATGTAAGGAATATAATTTAATAAACTCTATTAATAACTTCTTCCTCTGTTGTCTTACCTAAAGCCATAAAAAGCAACAAGAGATCTGGTGTGGAAAAAGCTAGTTTGTGATGTACACCTTGTAAAACAATAAATACTTAATTCCAGTTCTGTAGACAGATGGTGCGTTTGTTCTTTGTAGCAACATGGTTAAAACTTTGCAGAAACTGGTTCTAACTATGGAGTTGCAGAAGCTGTGTCTCTTACTTATGGCTTAAGTGATTTTTTTGCTTGTTTGTTTTATCCAAATTTTATAGCCAACCATTTCTAACTATAGATGCACAGTCCACTGGTGATTTGGTAGCTTGTCCTTCAGTGAGATTTCTTACCTCTTGAATAGAGCTCTTTATATCTGTGAGCTTCTGTAGTCAGAGGAGCCTGCTCGCTGCCTTGCTGAGAGGGACTGAGCCTGCAGGACAGAGGGAGCTAATCTGGCTTGTGCCGAGCAAATTCAGCATTGTTAGTAGTTCACGTTCTGGATCTAAGCACCATCAGCTTTATTCAACCTAACTCATTTTTTTTCCTTAGTTTTCACCAGCAGTATGTGCTCTGAGGGAGAAAAGTGAAGCTCTCCACGGCTTTTGGAAAAATTGCAAGGCTCTAGGAAGATGATGTGAAGTTTTTATGGGAAATAATGTAGTATCCAGGAAATCCCAGTTTCATTCAGTGAGCATGGTGTACAGAAGTAGCAACTCTTGAAAAACTTACCTCCTAAGAACTTAGTGATATGTCTGAAAATCCTTCTGAAAGTAGATTCTGCTTTGCAGTGCCAAGGAAATTACTGCTAGGGGGGTTTGTATGAGCCTGGCTAATACTGCTGCACGAGTTTGGAAAAGGAACACAGTTTGACTGGAGCGTGCAGTTCTGGCAAAAGTCTTCTGAAAAATTATTTCTGCAATACGTATGTTCTCTTAATGTCAAAACAGTGTGTGTTTATTTTGTAGACAAGTTGGTATAGGGTGTGAAATTGCTGAGGAGGTGACAATGAAATTCAAATGTGTCGAAAAATAGTCATGTACACCTAAATATTAAAGACTTCAGTTCTATTTGGATCATCATTCTGTTTAAAAATAGCGAGCGCTCCATCTGGGGAAGTCTTCCTATGTTCCAGTGAAAATAGCTCTTATGTTGCCAGTAGCTTTTTTCATTGTTTAGAGCGATTAAATGTTATTCTGTTATTTAAGATATTTTAAATAAATGGCTAATTAAAAATATGATTATTTTGAAATGTAAACAATGACAAATTATCAGAATTTAGATATATAGATCTAAATCTTTAGATATAATTTTAGATACTGTATTGCTGTGTTACTTTAGCGGTTATATGATATTGAAAACTCTAATACTTCACAGACTTCATGGACTTATCTGTTTTTAATGAATTATAAGTCCAGCTGCAGCTTAGCCATCTGATTTAGGTTAAATATTTTTTTTAAAAAAAGTAACTTATTTTTGAGGAAATCTGTGTATCAAATGCTTACTGATGACTCTTTTTGTTTCTCTGTTTATTTTCAAGACGAGCAAAAATCAAATTAAAGTAGATCTTGTAGATGAGAATTTTACGGAATTAAGAGGAGAAATAGCAGGACCTCCGGACACACCGTATGAAGGCAAGTAATCTTTTTGTGTATGAAATCATTGTGCCCCTCAAATAACATGCCTTGAGATGCTTTGTCTGTAAAAAATAATTTACAGCATAAAAATGTAGAGCTACATGTAGAACTACAATTTAAAAAAAAAAATTTTAAATACAAATTTTAGTCTTAAATGTTTTATTCCAACTTCTATAGCCCTTGAACGCACATCTATTCTATGGCAGGACAGACTATCCTACATCGAAGACGAATTTGCATTTTTAAGATGTGCAACATATATTGATGAATTTTTAGTTAGATATGTATGTGTATATTTATATTTGAAATGGGAGCCTACTGTAACTGTACATGTATTTATGTGGTCTAATGTGGTTGTCATTCAAGCCAAAAGTGTTACATTTTGGTATGTTGGGGAGTGATACCATTGTAAGGAAAATTTGGGATTAATCTGTGACATCCCTGGATCTGTATATTTAATTTAGACTCCAACTGAGGAATTGGAGAACTTCATGCCTGTTACTGTCTTCAGAAATTAAACCTGATGACTTTCTACTTTGTTCTGGGTAGCTGTCAGTAACCATACATCTCTTCACTCTCAGCGAAGTAAGATAATTTAAAACATACAGAAGCTAATAAACCAAAACTTTGCCAGAAGCTAGGAAAGCACTCTTTATCCAGGAACCCCAGGTTGCTCAATGGCACTTACACTTGCTTACATTTGTAAACTTTCCATTTGTGTATATTATCGGTGAAGGAGACAGAGGGATGTTTAGTTAAAAGTTGCTAGACACTTTTAAGTTGCTTCTATCTAGCGCTGCATCCAAATTTTCCATGCCATGTATTCGATTTGATTATCTTGGCAAAATGTTCAGTAATGAAGCATGCCTAAATTACATGCAAATAATTGTGTTGCTGAAAACATTTTTTTCACCCAAATTTTTAGTTTTGAAAAAGTGAACTTTGAAAAGTAAATTCTAATGAACAGGCAAAGGAGGCAGAAGAGCCTGTGTGCACTCGCACGCTCTCGAAGCCTGGTAGTGGCTGCTGGCCCTTCTTCCCCCAGCACCTCTCCTTGGGCTGGGAGCAGCTCTGCTCCAAGTGCTCGCTCTGCTCCAAGGACAGAGGAGTCTGGGGAGAAGGCAAAGCGCAGGGAAGCGACTCCGGAAGGGAAGGAGTAGGGAATGTCAGCAGAGCCACCCTGCGCAGCTTGAGCTGCAGGATTTCTTGGCTGCCTGGCAAATGCAGGGGGGTTCTGCTGTCTCTCCAGCCCCAGACCTCCAGGTGCTCATCAGCCCCTGGTGTTTAGTTCACAAGGGAGAATGTCTGCTTTTCCTCCACTTGTAACACACACGATCAGTGTGAAGGAAGAACCGTGCTATGCAGAGTCCTGCTGGTGACCTACTTGGAAGAGATTCATTCCAGTGGAATTTATCTTTTAAAAATGTAGATGATCTTATAAATGCAGAGCTTGTTAGAGATGTTAAGATTGCAAGTTTAAATACCAGATATGCTGGATACTAGGAAATACCTGAACTGTCTGTGTGCGTGTGATGTTCTTTTTTTGTTGCCCTCCTCCCCCTTAAACATAATTTGAGGATTTTTTTAAACTCTCTCAAGTTGGCATGTCACAGGTTGCCATTCTCTTTTCTCCCAGGCCTGTGTTACATCAGTTTATAAAACGGACATTTTTTTTTTTAGAGAATGCCTTGAGAGTTGTTTGGAACTTCTGTGTGATGCTGGGTAACTCACCCAGACGCAAGTTTTGAAAGATGAGTCTTGTGTATTCCTGTTCAGGGTATCCAGCTATTGAAACTTAGCAATATGTGTTTAGTGCAGAATCCTTTATATTAAATATACCTTTATTTAGTAGAACTGTTATGTATACTGATTGTGGCAGGAATCTCACAGGCAAATATGGTCATGTACTCACAGGAAACTGCAAGGCATATACACCCAGCAGCAAAGCTAAGTTTCTGGCAGCCCTAAATGTGCCGTTTCTAACACTTAGGTGCTTTACTTTGGAACACTAACAGTTCTGTAACATTTTTATGCATTTATTTCCCCTGTATAATTATGAAGGCAGTGTATGTAGTTTACATACACTATAAACACAGTGCCACTGTATGTAGTTTACGTCTTAGGAGTAAAGCAGGAACACATGCTATATAATTACTGGCTGATTCCTGCCAGGTGTGGTCTAGCAAGGACGCAACAAATGTTTTGGGATATGAGGAAGTGAACTTGGTAGTTTGGGACAGGCAATTCCCTGGGACAGAGGCCATTCTAGGACCAGGGTTAAGTGACGGAGCCCTGACACGTATCATAGTCCACAGTTCATAAAGTATCTGAAAACAAAGTTCTGCTGCAGCAAAATTCTATTTAGGTCATGTTGGGATGTTGGTTTAAGCAGGACCGAGAGGAAGAATACCAGCTATGTTTGACCTAATTTTCAACTTTTATTTGTCCGTAAATTATTTCAACCCGAACTGACCAATTTTCAGAATATTGCATGATTCCTGGAACTCAAGAATCGGCTCGAACTGATTCTGTTGCATCCCACATTGAAATAGATATATTTAGAGGGAGGACTTTGGAAATGGTGCATTAAAGGCTCCTGTACTTGTATGAATGATGAGCTTTTCAACAGATGAGTTTTTAAACCTTGTAGATTAATTTCAAGTTTACATATGAGCCACAGTAATTTTGGGAGTTTTTATAGTGGGTCGTTTTGTTCAAGAAAAACTATTGGGAGTTATTTTGACTATATTGTAAGAACTACTCTGCTGTAGGAGTGCCAAAGTGTTGCAGAGGAAAGGTGCCATAGGCTGCGTTCAGAGTGTTCCTGGAAGTTTTTTTCTTCATGTAGATCTCACTGCCTCTGTTGAGACTGCTTGAGAGCTGTTTATGTGTAGACAGATTAGCTGTAAATGATTTTGGAAATCACGAAGGAAATACATGACAGGTGCTTTAACTTTAATGTGGAGAAAATTGATCAATTGTAACAAAATAAAGATAGAAAATGTTAATTTCTGAAAGGACGGAGATAGAATGTGGCAAAAAGTTGCACATGAGAAGCAGTGCTTTCAGTTTCTCTGAAACCAAACACCTAAATTGGGATATGTTTTGTTACTCTCTGACTTGTCATATTTTAGTCTGGCAAATAATCTTGAGCGGGTGGACAGAGATGGCTTGAGATTGCCCAGAAAACAGTAGTGTTGATAGAAAACTTTGAATGTTACCAAAACTATCTTTGGAACAGCAGAGAGAGAGAGAGAGAGAGAGAGAGAGAGAGAGAGAGAGAGAGAAACAAATGCTTAAAAGAAGGCAGTGGACAATAGAATGAGTTTGGGGGACTGTAATGGTGCCCTAACTGCGAGTAGAGTGTGTTTGCAGAACTGCAGTGGAAGTGGCAACCCCAGACAGCAGTGGGGCACGCACTAGAGATTGTGTTGAAGCTGCTTCTGCTAAAGCCTAGGACTCTTCCTTAAGTTTCAGAGTTGAACCTTCCTCCAGTCTAGAAGCTTTAAAATGAAATAGAATTAATTTTGATTCCGGAATTGGAAGAAAAGTTGTTGTTAAGAGGTATCTGAAGAGAATAAAAATATTGTAATATTCCATGTCTCGTTCATATTTTAAATCTAGCTTACTAAAACAGACCATAGAAATTATGATGAGAAAAATGGGCAACTGTAGGTGAGGAACACACTAAACATACCTAAGAAATATCCATTCTGATTTTTAAGCAAATCTGACTTTAATAGTTTGTGTATATTTTTCTTTATAAAAGTATATGAAATCTGGATAATAGATAATATTTGAGTGTGTTAAATTACTTAACCTGTGTATAGAAGCATAGGCTTTGTTGTCATGAGAATGAATGTCTGATTATTGTTCTGTCATTTTAACTTCTAATTTGTTACTGTGTTTTGCAGGAGGAAGATATCAACTAGAGATAAAAATTCCAGAAACATATCCATTTAATCCTCCTAAGGTACTCTATTTATGTAAAATAATTTGTCAATAAGTTGTTCTCGAGTGTTCTTTTGCTTGTGTGTGTGTGTTTTCTTTGTAGTACATCTTGTATCATCTAATAGCATATCTTATTGTCTCCTATATCTTTCTGATTTCTAGAGAGAAATTGAAGCTGCTTTCTCTAGATGGAAATTGTAACTGCATTCCGTTAGAAATGCATTCTAATTAATCAGATTGCACACTGATAATTTTAGGGGAGTTTGTGCTGAAATGGCTACCACCTTATTACTGAGGCTTCCATAATTTCTCTTTCTCAAGATAAAATTGCTTTTTAGAAGTATAACATTTGATTTTTGAGAGTTTGGGTTTTTTTGGTTTTGCTGAAAGCTCCTTTTGAAAGAAATGCTGTAATAAGTGCTTAGTTATTCTGAACTAAATCCTTGAATCCCGTGGCTTATTGGTTGGGTCTGGAGTTGAGGATACTGGGTTTCCTGCAGTAATTGAGTGCAGCTGAATGCAGTTGCACTGTCACCTGCAGGAGCCACACGCACACACACTGTGGTCTCCCTCCGCCTTCCCTCGAGGAGAGGGAGACACTGTGATCTCCCTGTTTAAAGACGTGCACAGGAATGAGCGACATGAGAAATGGCTGCATTAACTCATTTGTATCATCACACCCATTTCTGTGCACTCTTCTGTGTGGTTCTTCCTGCCGCATGTTTTTTCTTTCAACTTTTGCCCTTTCAGCTTTACCGTATCTTTTCTAGCATATACATAAATAGAATAATCAAAATAGTGTTCTCCCTAGGCCACGTGCAGCTGCAACTGCATATTCCTGTGCCCCAAATCAGTCTTCGTCAGTGGCTTCTGACCAGTCTTCAGACTGCTGCCTTGTGTGACTCAGCTCCCTGCTTGGCTTTCCCTTGCAGCCTGAGAGGTGTCTGGGAGATGTCTTTGAACTATAAGAACACGTCCTAGATCGTGATTATTCTTGCCCTGGCCTGCCCTACTGGGGAGGGGTTGGGGGCAAAGAGAAGGGGGAGATGCCAGTAGGTTGTCCACAGCTCTTGTGCTTTCAATCACTTCCCGGAGCCTGCAGTGTAAGATGGAGAAAGACCTTCTTAATGAGTGGTGTGCTGGTTTCAGCTCTTTCATCTGTGTTTATTCTGGCAGAAGCTAAAATAAGGAGATCTGAAACAGGTCGCAGACCCTAAAATGGTGGGTTGTGAACCATGGTTTAATTGCTGCTTTAGGGCTTGGTGGCTTCCCTTCCAAAGCTCATAGCCCACTGCCTCTTCTGGAGGCTGCCGGTGGGACTGGAGGCCTTTTTGCTTATGTTGAGCCCTGCCTTTCATCTGGGCGATTTCTTTATGCTGTTCAGAACATGCTTTGACAGCCATTGTTAGCCTTCATTCACTGGGAGAAATTACCAAGGGCTTACGTGTCTTTTTACATTTTCAAAGTGATTTATAGACTGGAGCTAGTTAATAAATGGCATGGCTGACATGAGCTCCCTATTTTCTGTCCTGAAAAGCAGGACTCGCGTGGTCTCACCCCAAACCTGCTTATGTACTGTGATTAGACTAATTTTATTACAGCTCCATACATAGTGTTTTGCTGTAGATTTTGACAAATGATGTGTTCTTTGTGCTGATTTGCTTGCAGATTAGGGGCAAAAGTTGAAATAAAATCTGTCTGACAAAATATTTGACAGGAGTTCAGGGAGAGAGAGATGGGAAACACTGAAGCAGAGCGAAGACACTGGAAGGCAGTTGAAATGCAACCTGAAATAAACTATTTGAAGAAATTCTAAAGGCAATGTGTATCACTTTCAGAAGACACATTTTGAGACTTTTGGAAGAAAATACAGCTTTTTAACTTTACTGGAGGGGGGGCAAAATTTAATTGGATTTTATTCCTGCCGTATAAGTGTATGCTGTTTTAGTGTAAAAATGAACATGATGAATGGATGAATATTGAAACTATAACTTCTAACAGCAGAGAAAAATAAGTGTAATCTAGTTAGGTTTTAGATTTGTTGAAGAGCTTTGTGCATGTGGACTGGAAGAATGAAGACAGTAAAAATCTCATGGTAAAATCAAGACATCAACCTTCCTTGCATCGGCCAAGGAAACATTATGGTATTTTATGCAGCTTCCAACAGTCTATCTGAGCAGTGAGAGCCTGTGCCTACACTGAGACTTCAGAGGTCTGCTCACTTCTGAGAAATGAGCAGATTTTGTAGTGTTTTAACTGACTTTCTGACAGTGTTGGAAGCTCTGTGTCTGCATCTGACCATCTGCCTGTGTTAAGACTGGTATTTATATGATAGCTGCACGGTGTGATGTGGAGGATGTGCCCACATGAGAATATATGAGGGAAGGCAGATGGGGATGATCTTAATGTCCCCAAAGGGATACTAGCCTCTCTCTGAGTAAAGCAAGATTCCAACAAGTCTCCTTGCCTCCAAAAACTGTGGTGTATATCTTTAGTTGTTCCTTCCTTAATATATCATAAGTTAATATACCTTTGTAATATAACGGAAGTAGTACATTAAAATATGCTTAATGTGCTGCATTTAATAAAAATCTTTGTTCCTAAAAATTGTCTTGTATTCTAGGTGCGGTTTATCACCAAAATATGGCATCCTAATATCAGCTCAGTCACTGGGGCCATTTGTTTGGATATTCTCAAAGATCAGTGGTAAGTTTCCCTCCAGATTTACATGTGCACAGTCAAGTATCCCAGAGTCCTGGATGGGAGGCAACAGTCCATGCTGCGTTTCACTTGACATTTGTAATTTGATGTGTCCTTGAAAATTAAAGCTATTTCAGTTTATAGCATTTGAGTTAAAAAGAGAATCCTAATAGAATATTAGATTGTAATTTTGGAAAATATTGAATAGATATGGTTAAAAAGAGTGTTTTGGAGGACTTTAAGAGTGGATTTTGTTTATTTGTTGTTTTCTTTTTGTTTTTTTTGGGGGGGGTTCAATTCATGCATCTTTGCTTCAGTAACAAATAATGCTACACATGCCCTTCTGCGTTTTGCCCATCCAGTTTACTGAGGTGTATGGAGTGGGAGGGAAAAATGTTTTTTCTGTTTCTTAGCTTGCACTTCCAAAGATAACTGCTTCTGTTGGAGGTAAAACAGTTGATAGAATAAGAATCTGGAAGTATGAAAGGAAATAGAAAGGCACAGGAGGAAAATAAGGGACTAGAGGAAAGGGACTGACCAGACTAATTCCCCCAGATATCGTTGATAATATTTATGACTTGACCCTCTAAAAAATTTGTCTTTTAGTTGATTGTCACCTGCTGACATTACCTTAGTTAGTATGTTACTGGAAAAAAGGTTAAGAGCCAAAATTGGTGGGATAAACCTGCAAGTGTCCAAGCTATAACAGCTGGACAAACCAACCATGTTAGGTCTTGCTAGAAGACTGTATGTGTCAACAGTCTGGTAGATTTGGTAGAGGTTGTCACTTTGATTTTTTTATTAATTAATCAATTAATTTATTTTCTGTTCCCTCTACGGTCTTTAAGCAATTGCCTGTCTGTCGGACAGGAGAATCTCTCGGCATGCAGACCATGGTACATACTGTAGCTTACCCTAGTGAGAAAGCCAGTGCAGATTTCTACCTCAGTTTGTTCCTTCTGTCACACACTTGTGCGGGAGATCAGTGCTCCTTCAGCTGTGCAAGTGCAGTTTCCCAAGCAATGCACTGCTAAGCACGTGAGCCAAAGGGCACAAGGTTGTTTGGTTGGTTTGTGTTGGGTTCACGCTTTGTTCTTCTCTGTTGGCAAGAAAAAGACCCAAAAAGTTAATGAGGATCACTCTACTCATTTGAATAAAACATGCCTAGCTGGGAAAATAGGTTTAAGCAACGAGGATATAGGAGGGCAAAAATTTGTCATTCCTACCAGTAAAGGTGGTTAATATGGAACTGCTTCTCGACTTTATTAATCTTCTCTTTGAGAAGAACTTGTCTGAGGTCAAAAGTGCTGTATTTTGGTACTTGTTTTCCGCAGTCTGATTGGTTTGCTCACAACATCACAGTCTGTTTCATACAGTTAAGTGTCTTCACAACTAATCTTTTCATACTGAAGCACCTATACATTGTATTTCCCCAAAATGGCACTTGTCCAGCAGTCCCCACAGAAAACGTAGGGGAAAGACAGTCCTGAACAGAAGCCATGCTTATTTGTTGTATTGCAAAAAAGCTGTTAGGTCAGTTGGACCTTATTTTATCATTTTGTTTCTTCATTGATATTTTTATTTTGATATATTTATTTGATATTTTTAAATTAGTGTTTCCTGTGAAGAAGGATGGTCTTGCAGCTGTGGCACTGGACTCAGATTCAGGAGACTGTTTACACAGCCCTTGAGCAGGTCTTCTGTGGTCTTTCAGCATTGCTTTGGTGTTCTTTACAACCTGCTGCTTTGGAATTGAGCTGCTAATAGGTTCTTATTTAAGATGAAATTTTTTGGCCTTTGCTGATAAACCTAAAAAAAAAAAAAAAAAAAAAAATCAAAAAGCAACTGACAAAGACCCAAAGAAACCAGGAACTTTAAATTTTTATGCATTTCCTGCCCTTGAAATTTAGAGAAGAAGAGAAAGGATTTGTCATGTATGCTTGTGATGTTTGAAAGCTGGGTCTGGTGCAGATTACTCAATCTGTGTCTTAAATACCCCCAGTTCACCCTTGCCGTCACCAAGATAATTATAAAAATAGAGGTCTTGGAACAAGAACTTGCCTTCTGTGTAATTAAGCAGTGATTGACGTGGGGAGCACCAGTATCACACCATTTATATCCTGCTAAACTCTTCCTTCTGAATACTGTCTTCATTTGGAAACCTTGAGGAAAGAATTTGCAGAAAATCTGTGTGTGTGTGTGTGGCTGCTGTTGTGGGATTTTATTTTTCTTCTTCTTCCCCTTTGTGCTGTGGTCCCCTTTCAAATGGCTGCCCTTGTAGGGATCCCTTCACTTTCTGGTATTGCTCCCTTTTTTTGTAATAGGGAGGAAAAACACTTCAGTTTTGCGGTGCTTTTTATAACTCCTCTCTTCTTTGTTGGAGGGGAGGAACCTTTGTGGCTACCTGCAACCTCTGCTGCTTCCAGAATTTCAGTGATGTGCTAGATGAGACTTCAGCTTCCTAAAGTCATATAAATAGTTAATATTATTTAAAAAAAAAAGTATGCAGTATTTATGTTGATAGATGTGCTGTTTAAAGTGAGAAATGCCCACATTACCACGGTGGTTTTCCGCAGGCGTAGGCTGGATAACAGTTTGAATAAGATGACAGCCTCTTTAAAACAAAAAATAGCACCAAAAAAAAACCACTGTCCTACCCAGACCTTGAAGAATTCCTTTTGACTGGATTGCACCAGGTGTTCACAGGTGAACAGGACAAACCCTATTCTTAAATATGCTGATAGCCACCTTCTGTATTTAGTCTACAGTCATTCTTGTCAAATGTTTTGGTACAAGATTTGTTTCTGCAGTGCAGCTCGTCTCCCTTGTAGTGCTCATAGTGAACAATCCTCTTATTGCTATTTTTAAGTGTAAACCTCAAATTCCAGTGAGGTCAGTAGGAGTCGAAGGACAGAACCAGGGCCCTTGGGACTTGCTGTGTAGGGGTGTCCGTGTGGGGATTTGGCAGTGGGGAAGGACAGGGTTGTTTGGCTTTTAAACTGACATAGTATTCATCGATATGTGGTGACTACAAACCCAAACATTTAAATGTATTTGGATAATTAAAATTTGTGGTTTTTTTACCTCCTCACCCATATCATGATAATGACTTTCGTAGTGAGCATAGTTGAGGGGTAGTTATGTACATATTGGCAGAAGGTTTTGTCAAAGCTTTTCAAGCGCTTCCTTTAAATGACTTTTATCATTATTTTTTTTCCTTCTTAGTGTGTATTTTATGCTGAAAACTTCTGCAGCTGTAGATTTCATCATATTTAGATTTGCTATACCTGTTATGCCAGTTGGTTTGCAAAACGACGACTGTTTGCTGGTGGAATTAAGAGGGAGATGACAGTGTGGAAGGAGTACTGCGTATGCTGATACGATGTGGCTTTTGTTGTGCAATTTCACTTGCTGGAGTCTATATTGATCTTTTTGGCTAATACTCTGTCCTAAAAATCTATTCTAAAATAAAATAGGAAATGTATGCCATGCTGTGCATTGAAACGCGAGCCCTGAACTCCTCAGCTCTGCAGAGATCCCTTGTGCAGCGCTTCTCTGGGCGCGCGCTGTGCCGGGCTGTGGAAGCCCTGGGCTCCTCTAGTTTTGATAGTCAAAATACAGATGCATAATAAGAATATTATTTTCCTAGTGGCTATACTGCAATACTCTGTCTTTAGTTTTGATTGAGGTGCAGAAATCATTAGTATATAAGGTACTGTGACTACAGTACCTGTACAGCCAGCAATGAGGCAGCAGTTACCACCTCTGTGGTGCATTTTCTGGGGCTTTCTGAAACTGCTCAGGCCACTTGAGGATCACTGAGTCTCTTTAAAGCCTCAAGAAGGATGCAGCGAATATTCACGTTGTTTTATGGAGCCTTTCAGCATACAGGCCAATCTGCCCCCTGCCTAATGTCAAAATTATTTTTATTTGCATTTTTTGTCTTTAATGGGTGCCCAGTCTGATATTTCACCCGTACAACAGGCTGCCACAGAAACACCTGGTGCCCTTCCTATCTACCTTCAAATTCCTTGAATCATTTGTACAAATTACTTGAGCTTTTCTTTCAGATTCACGTGCTTAGCTGCTTTATAAATGGAATAAATATTGGAGACGTTGGACAGTGTCGGTGCCGGGGGCCGGAGCAGCCATCGACTGGCGGGGGCCGCTCTGCCCGACCCTCCGAGCTGCATCCGCATCAGAGAGGAGCCTGCAGCACCTGAGTAGGAACCTCCTCAATGAAGAATTACTTGTCCTTTAAAAATAAATTAAAAAAGAGAGAGGAAAAACTGGCAGGGTTTTGTAATCCTTTTAGGATTCTCTGTGCCCACTGAAAGGTAGGAGATTTCTTACCTCAGGCATGCTGGGTACAGCTGACTGGCTGTGCTGCTTTATTTAACGTTGTCGTTGCATCCATGCCAACAACCCCTGCTGCTTTTTTTAATGGAAGTGCCTCTGGATGTATTTATTTTATATTTAAATATGTATGTGTGTATACACATGAATATGTATACATATATAAATATATATGTGAGCTTGGCTTGCTTTGTTCTGGTTTTCTTCAGGTTCTCCTTACAAATGTAATAGCGTAGTGTTTTCTGGAAGCCTTTAGTTTGAAGCTCTCGGGCAGGACAGCGCTGTCCTGCAGTGAACTCTGCAGCTCACTGGTAGGTGTCACAGGTCTCCTCTGCTTTTGAGGTGCCAAAGCGCCAGCTCACGGAGTGGCGAGGCAGCGTTTTGGGTTGAGGCATGGGAGGATCAAGGATGATCATAAATTTTAAGACACATGTGAGTCAGCCGGGTCAAGGGATTTTGAAAAAAGCAAATAAGATGCTGTGATGTGGAGTTATACTTAAAAGACTCATAAATTGCCCTTGGCTTCTCCGTGGTAAGGCCTCAGCTGGCTGCTCTGTCCCCTTTTGAGCGCTACATTGCATTTCTAAGATGAATACCACAGGAAAAAAATCCAAAGGTAAATAACAGGATTGGCACCTAATTAAACATGACTTACAATGAAAGATTGGAAGTCCATTTTGGGATGCAGAATAGCAGGCCCAGTGAAGCAATGAAATAGATTTGTGTGTGTGGTGTTTATTTGTATTTTCAAGAAATTTGAGAGTCTCCAGTTAAGAACAGATCAGGCCGAACTCTGCCAGGAGTGATGTAAAATTTTATCTTGGGCAAGGAGGAGAGTTGGTGGCTTTCTGAAACCTTTTCAGCTTGCTGCTTTTTTTCTTTTTGCCTATAGTTTGAGTTACCAAAGGAAACTACTTGAACTCTGAGAGATTTCCCATAGATATATCCCTAGAGGTAAGCTACAAGTGTAAGAAGAGGGGGGAACTTTGGGAAATGCAGAATATAGTGGATTTTTTCCAAGTTTTTTTCCAACAGATCCTGCTTTTCTACAGTCTGTTTGCAGTCCTCCCCATTCACTTTATTCTCTCTAAGAAGGTAATAGGAAAGAAGAGCTTTTTAAGGAAATTGGGAAATGAGAATCTATCTTTAGCTGTCTGTGCAGTTTCTTCTAGAAATGTAATTTGTCTCTGGAAAATAATACTAAGCTACATAGATGAAAGCTTCAGTACTTTTTTGATAAGTGGAGGTAATTGAAATCCTAAAGACAGAAGGTGCTACTTGAATATACAATATTTCCAGTAAAGTTATTTTATTATAAATATATATTTAGAGAGAGACTGCAAATTCATAAACCTTATTCTCCCTGTTTTTATTGGACAGAAGCCCAAGTTGTAACAGGCTTTCTTTCATAGTCTAAGGATAACTCTTCAAACTTGTATGTCCAATGGAGTCTTTGCTTAGCTATGCATGAACTGAGAAAGCCATTTCTGAAAAACGAGGCTTGAAAATAAATTGTAAATGATACTTTTAAGCCTTTTGCATTTATAGCTAAAGTAGTCTTGTCTATAACTCCAGTTCTGAAAGCTCAAGTTTTTTTGAGAGTTAGTATACAGCCATCTGTATATCCAAGTGGATCAGGTATTTATTTCTATTGCTTATTTTAACACTGGAATGTCAGAGGCTCCCCCTACACTAGACCTAAAAATCGCCAAACAGGGTGGGCAAACAGGGCCCGGAGGGTCTGGCAGCCTCCGAGTGCACACGGGACTCGTCTTCTGGCCCTCCGTCACCCTTCTCGCCACCGAGCCTCCCCAGGCCTCCCTTTGCTCTGTGGAAGGTAAAGAAGTAAGAAACGTAAACTCTTTTGTCAGAGTGGCCCAGGTGGCTGTTTTGTTGTGGTTTAAAGAGCTGGGTGGTTCTCAGGCACCTCTGAAGTGAGAAGATTTGTATAATACAAAGCACAGGACAACTGTTGTGTAGTGAAAGTCGTTATAGTTATGGTTGGTAGAGTTTCCTGGTTAAACTTCTCCTGAAGAATCACACTAGATAGTGGAAGAAAATTCCTTAGCTGGCTGGAAGGGCTTCAGATTTGAGAGCTGCATCACAGTTGTGGTAGTTCTGAACTTCTCTGCATACACATGAAAGTGATCCACCCTGCAAGCACAGCAAGACCTGGAAGCCCCGGCCTTCTGTGGCACCTGACTGCTAAAACAGCAGCCTTCCAATGTAGCTGTACCTGCAGGTAAAACGTGCTACGTGAGGGTTCCTTTAGGGTGAGCAGATTCTTCTGAAGTGTCATCCCTGCATCCACGAGTGCCGAGCTGCCAAAGAGTGTGAACCCGTAGATGTGAACAGAGAACTGAAAATTAAAAGCAGAAAAAGGCGTAGATAGCTGTCAGGCACAATGTGCTGGTGCTCTGTGGTGGTGGCTGTTGCTGATGGTTTTGCGATTTAGGTGTGGAAAAAATGAGATGCTTTTTATTCAGGGTTTCCCGGGTAGCTAGGTCCTCGTCACACACCTGGGGATGTGTTTCAGCAGCTAGATGTTCTTTATCGGATTAAATATAATCCAGCTGGTTAATCCCTAGCTTCGTTTGTCACTTAAAGAAGGAGTATTTAGTTTGAAAGAGTGGCCCCCTTGGAAGGTGAAATGCTTGCTCTTAAACTTAGTTAGAGGAGAAGCTGAACCTGAAATTCTGTGTAGTTACTTAGGGATATGCCTTGGAAATGAGGTATTATATGGGGTGTTTTATACATGGAATTTTGTGTGTGTGTGTGTGTCTTTCAGATATCATGCTTCTAAAAGCCTGATTTTTGAAGAGTTAAATCTGCAAAATTCAGCTTGAGGGACTTCAAGCTGATGTGGCAGTTGGAAAGAGACAATATGTGCTAATTAAAATCTCTATCACTTGGGATGTTCCTCACTTGCATTTTAATGTAGAACATGGCACTGAAAGCTCAGTGATGGTTATCATGTTTTTTTTCTTTTTAAAAAAAGCTAGATTTCCAGGAAAAATATTCTAGAATTGGAAGCAATTAGGGAAGAAGGGCTTATTTGAATGATTGGTGACCTAATGTGGAAGTGGTGCATATGAGCTTCTAGGAATATAAAATTCGTATGTCACAAATGAATTTCTGACACTTACCAGAATCTGTTTTCTGTCTCTTCATCCGTATGCTCAACTGTGGTACCTCAACACAGTGCCACAGTCCTGGGAAAAAAGACAAGTTTGTGAAATGTGTCGCTGGCTGTACAGCTTTGCAAACTCTTTCCATTATATCTGGACCAGCCTATATCTGGTCGGCCCCCTCCCATCCACTCTGGCTCACTGACTTTGCTTCCAGTCTTCTGAAAAGAAGGAACTATTTTCTGTTGATTTTCAAAAATTGATCAAGCCTTCTGTGAGAAATTGGGCATCTGTTTCATAACTTTCCTTTAGCATTTCATGTTCTGTGACCATTTTGCTTAAATATAAGAGATCACATTTTCCCACTGTTGTTCTGCTAAGACTTAAGCACAATAAATACTTTTGTGTGTTATTTTTCTTCACGTCTTTCTGCTCCTACATAATCATTGTTAGCTGTCCTGCTACAGAGGATTGACACTCTAATTCAGCTGAGACACTTGGCTAAGTTTTTGTGCAGTCCCTTATTCCAGTTCTAATGTGCCAGCTGAAATGGTGGGTCACAGAGATGGTAGTCATGATCGAAGGCTAATTAAACGGTTTGTTTAAGGTGTTGCAACTTTCCAGATTTAGAGTATTTAATGAAAATTTCCTGCAACTGTTGTGAGTGATGATGTTATTTTATGTACATAGTTTCCCTCCCCAAAATATGTTATGTCTCTTGTTAAGGTCTCATCATTAGTTTGAGCTCCAAGTGTGTGCAGAAGTCGGATGTTTCAACCTCTGGACCTTCAACTTCAGCAGGGATCTTCAGCACAGGCAGAAGTTGCCTTTGCAGCAATACGTTGATGACAGAAATGCCTTTCTGGCCTCTAGCTTGGTTAATACTCTGTCAGTAATGCCAGACTGAAGTGAAAGGAAGTGGAGATAATATTTTGTTACACACTTTTGTAATGGCAAAACCCATTTTCCTTATTGAAGGAGAGGTTCGCTGTGTAAACTGCTAATCATCCGTACCTCAAAGTGGCATATTTAAACTGATGCAATGCAAAAGGTCTCAGGTGTATGAAAGTGCTCATCCGTTAGGAGAACTGAAGATGCGGGTCAGGATTTGTGTTTGAGCTCCTTTCCCCTCGGGAGTGCCAGCAGAGGGAGCAGCCGGGGGCGGCCGTGCGCGGACGCTGCTCCCAAGGGAAGGGCGGAGGGGCTCTCTGCAAGCAGAATCATAAGTTTGGGATAAGCTTTATCAAGGGGGCAAACTCAAATGTGTAGGCCAGGGTGGTTTTCCAAGTGCTTAAGACAGCATTTTCAATAAGAAAGTATGCATTTATTAATAAATTATTAATGAAACCCTGTATTCTAATACATGTAACCTGCAGCAGTTTGAAACTTAGGATTCTTATACCTCAGATCTTTATTTGTGTCTTGTGCAATACTGAGAAGCGCAGCAAGAAGAGCATAGATACAGGCTTTGGTAATGTCCTTCTCAAACTGTGCTTTTAGGGCAGCAGCAATGACTCTAAGAACGGTGTTGTTATCACTGCAAGCGTTGTTGGCAGCTGCAGAGCCAGATGACCCGCAGGACGCAGTAGTGGCAAATCAGGTAAGATGCTTGGTCACTGCGTGCACCTTTAGCACTTCCTTAAATGTTGGTAACTCTGGCTGGATCCCAGACTTGGAGAAGAGAGGAGTTTTAAAGAATTTACTGAAAAAAATACCCGATTTATTAAAAAAAAAAAAAAAAAGTGGGTTACTGCAGGTTTTTGTGCTCCTCACTGCCAGGCTTCCAAAGTAAATAGCAGTTATTTTACAGTGCCAAGAGGTTTGTTGTTCGGTTCTTTCTTCTTTTTTATTAAGCTTTGCAGAAATGGATTCAGGTATAACTTCCCTATTAAAATCTAAGGCTTTTAGTATAAGAAAGTAAATGCATTTGCTTAAAGTGAATTTTACGTGTGTGTTACTTCTGAGCTTTAACTTGTTGGTGCTTCTTCATTTTGGCTTAATATAATAACTCCTCATCTGGTTCAGTGTGAATATTGTTGAGCATCACATTTGTTAATGCCAAAATTTTTTAATACAGTTATTTTGGACAAATTATTATTGCATTCACTCCTGAGAAGCAGCTCATCTGAACTGGCTGAAGCAACCTTTGTGTTTGACATCTGCAAGTGCTTGAAATGGCTGTTTTACACATTGATCAAACTGGTATCAGTGGAATTTGTGTTGATTGCATCAGGCTTTTTTAAACTGAAGCTAATAATAATGTTAATTGGGTCTTAGGCCATATGAGAAGTCACACAGTGCTATTTAAAATGTTGATGAAAGATAGGAAGAGTCATTCCCTAATTTAGTAGTTGACAAAACCCTAAGCACGTGTGTGTTTTTCTTGAACTGGGGAGAGGGAGGCCAAGCAGGAGAGAGGCAGCGAGATGCAGGCCTAGCTGGTCGCAGGGATCTATTTCAGCCATGATAACATGAGGAATTGGGAATCGCTTCCAGGCCTGGTGTCATCTCCATGTCTCCTGCAAGTGGGCGCCCTCCAGGAGAGGGCGACAAGTGTGTGCTCCTACCCTTGACCAAATCCGGGAGGAGGTTTCCTTAGCAGCTCATCAACTCGGCCAGGTTTAGGAGCCGCAGGGCTGGGCGCCCAAGGCCCCGGTGCCGCTGGGCAGGCGAGAGCTGCTCTAGAGCCCCGGGATCCCTGCGCCGCAGCGAGCGCCGCTCTTCCAAACAGCCTCCCAGGTTATTCTGCACGCTCATTACACTGCTTTCCACTCAGCTGCACTGCACTTAGCCTGCTGAACCTCAGCTTGCCAAGGTAAACGGCCTTCAAGCATTTCAGGTGAATCCCAGGGAGAAGAGTGGCTCTAAGGTCAGGAACCCGTCTGGTCTCAACGCTAGTTACAGATAGAGGATTAGTTGCTGCCTTTAAATCCAGCACCCTGACTGCTTATGGCTCTTCATTTGGAGACACAGGTTTAAAAAAAAAATTAAAGTGCCTTTAGCTCTCTCAGTGAGAAGCCAGATTATTTACAAATACCTAAATAAAGGAATCTTATTTATAGAACACAGAAAGCCAGTTCTGAATCAAATTAGTCATGTTTGTGTAACTGAAACCTTTGCACTTCAGCTGGTAGCTTTTTAGGCTCAGCTGTGCTCTGCAAATGTCCTGAAGAGGAAGGGCCTCTAAGAGCAGGAAAATGTAGTGCTTAGGATGCTGTTGGTGCTGAATTTGACTGTATAGATGTACTAGAGCCCTACGTATTTTATATTTTTCAAATATTTATGTATTTTGAAATGTAGTGTGTATATATACTAGTACAGTGAGTTACTTCAACAATAGGGGCTCTTAGGTTTAATGTAGATGTGTTGATCTTTAATGCCCCTTAATGATCAGGTGTTTCACATGGGGACAGTGTTAGTGCCAGGTGTGCAGAGCACCCAGTGCGAGGGCCTCAGTGCATGGGCTTCCCTAGAGATGAAAGGTGCAGTAGCAGAAATGATGTTTATGGTCTTTTATGAATTTAGTTCCTCTTCTGTATGAATAAAATGCTCAAAATCATGATCAGCCATGTCTCTGCATTCTGTAAAACTCATCCAAGTACTTGAATAATCCATTTGCTGCGGGTATCTTGTCCTATTGCTTAGTGCTGAGATTAGTTAGGTAGTTCCAGACTAAAAACATGTCTGGGTTTTTGGGAAGTGTAATGTTTGAAGAAAATCTTTTCCTTATAAAAATGATATATGGCTGTGTTGATTTAAAACTTGATATCAAATAGAAAAGTTGCCAAAATAGGAGACTTTTGTCTTGCTTTTTTTCAGCGTACTTTGACAGATGACCCACTTCTCATCTTCTGAATTTCTTGTATAGGCTGTAAAGCACTTTGTGCTAAGGTCCATTTTCTTATTTATTAAGAAAACATGCTTTGTGGCAAGATTGATGCAAAATAACATTTATATACTCTGATTTTTTTTCTTAGTTATTTTTCTTCTTGGTAAAAGTAGGTTACTTGAAAAGAGTGACAGCTCCCCAGCTCTTCACCTGCATCTCCCTTTTTTTAACCCCTTCTGTTGTCACATGTGATACCAGTTTTGTCTATCCCAAGGAGGAAGCCTGGCAGTAAAATGTCAGCCCTCACTGAAAAACTGCAGACCCACTCACATTTTGGAGGTGCTAAAACAAAATGGGGAATATTTTTATTTAATTGAAGAAATCAATTAAAGTAGTATATGGTATGTACATTCAGCAGATGTTAACATTGAGATGCTTTCTGTGCTCTGCTTTTGAATACCTGTGCTAAATACAGCTATTCTGGTTTTGATGGATGCAACTGAGAGCAGAGTTTGATTGCATGTGTAAAATATATATAGTGCACAATTTACCCTAAAGGCAAAAGCATGAAGTCAAATGTTTAAGCAGACTTTCTGTGTGTGTAACCCTAACCTCCAGGTTTCATTTCGGAAATGTCATTACACTAAATGCAAAACAATGTTGAAGACTATGTAGGACGAATTGCAAATTGGAATCTGCTGTTAAGCATCTTGATTTTTGGTTGGCTCGCTGAATTAACTTAACTTTTTACCTTCTTCCCTCCCCCACCCCCCTTTTCTTTTGTTTAGTACAAACAAAATCCAGAAATGTTTAAACAGACAGCTCGGCTTTGGGCACATGTGTATGCTGGAGCACCAGTTTCTAGTCCAGAATACACCAAAAAAATAGAAAACCTTTGTGCTATGGGCTTTGATAGGGTAAGTATGTGTAACTTTAAATATTTTCCAGTAGGTGCTGCGTAAATGGATATGTATTTGTAAAAGGGAGTTATTAGTGTGCTAAAGTGGGCTTGCTCCTTCCATAACCTCTGCAGATCTAATTATTATGCTGTTTTTATGAATTTAAATTTTGAGATACTGCATTATTTGTAAAACTTGTAGTATGAGCTGCCTTCTGCCTGTTCGACCCAATAACCTGCAACTCTGCAGCTCGTCGGTTAAGACATAATAAAGGGTAATGTAGAGGTTTTGATAAATCTGTGCATTTGTCGTTCACCTTTTCATAGCAGCAGGTTCGCCCACTTGCAATATAATTACTTTTTGTTTTCTCTTTGCAGAATGCAGTAATAGTGGCCTTGTCTTCAAAATCATGGGATGTAGAGACTGCAACAGAATTACTTCTGAGTAACTGAGCCATGTAGAGAGAGCTGCTTCAGTAGTCCAGCTTGCCCCTTCTGGAGGAGCATCACCATCTGTTATTTTTAGGATTCTCTATAGATTCTCTTTTAAAACTGGCACTCTTGCCTGATGATGCTATCTAGGCACTATTGGAGACTGAAAAACCGCTCTGTAAATAAAGCTAATTAAACGTCTGTGTAAATTTAAAAAGGGGAAATACTTTAATTTTTTTCTTACTAAATATTGTAAAAATTCTTTGAGCTCAGCTAAAACCATGGGGGGAAAAAACATGCCTACTTTAGTGTTTAGCAGTGTGACAAAGACTAGCAGGACCTTGCTTCAGGATTTTGATTTAGTAATTCAGAAAGCAACATTTTTTGAGTGTTAGTCATCCAAATTGTTGGTGCCGCTCATCACAGCTATCTTACTGTTTTTAACATGGATCCTATGTGCCTGTGGATTGACCTATGTTTGCATGCTTGTACTTAATAGATGTATTAGGTAGGGTTGCTGAAGAGAGCACCATTTAAATACTCGAGTATTCCTGTACCTTTTTTTCCTGAGAGACTTTGAAGATTCACCCAGAGCTCAAAATGGTGACCTGTTCAGAACCTTTTTCTTCCTAGTTTATCGATTGGGAACCCTGATTCTCCTCTCCCTCGCGTCATACCTGGCATCGCAGAACTGAATCCTCTCCGGATTATTTTTCATCGTCTGTGGGTGTGAGCGCCATTTAGTCTAGGCTCCGCTTTAAAGAATATATTTTGAATTACCATAATGGTTTTCAGCCATCATGTTTCCTACACAAGCTCATAAGGGTTTAGTATGCTTGGATGTAGCACAGAAGGATGGAGCTGACCTTTTTCTTTTTGTCTTCAATAGATGTAAAATGTTCTTCAGTGCATTCTGGATAATAATGATTTCAATGGATTTGAAGGAGGAAAAAATATTCTCTAGCATATTAAGAATTACTTTTCTTTTGAGTACTTGATATGATGCAATCAGCTGTTTTTTTGCAGCAATTTTCTAGCTTTATTTTTGGCTTCAGTTTAAGGATTGCTTACCAGGTACTTCAAAATTCATCCTTGCCTGCATTTTTCTCTAGTTGACACATGGAGGCTGTGTTGGTGTTTTTTACTGTACATACTTCAAATGCACATAGAAGTAGAAGTGTGTTCTCAATTTAGCTTTCTTTTGGATTGATGTTTCTGATAAACGAGAACTGAAATTCATCTTGGCTTGTACATACAGTCAGTCTTTTTATTCGTATTAAAATGACATTTCATCCTGAGTGCAAAAGCTTGAAAATTATTAGTTTTGCAACTTCAAACATTAGTACATCTATTTAAAGAGGCCTATAATATCTTTATGAATATGATAACTTTTTAAAATATATCTGACAAGAACGTTCAGAGAAAAACTAAGAACAGATTCTGGGGATTGTTGTTATTAGAGTACTGTGCAAGTCATCTTTTTCGTGACTCTCTCTTCTCCTAAACACTAGAGTAATTGAGTGGTTGGGGAAGAGTGTGTCTGGGCTTTTTGCTTGAGCTGTGACTTACAAGTCAAAGTAGGTTCTTGCTTCTCACACAGTTTGTAAGCGATCCTAGCAGAAACCAGGAACCCTGCTGAATCTGTGAAATATCTGGAGCATAGTCGTAGGGGCACAAAAGCTGAAAATAGAGCTGTAGAGACCGAGCTGGTTCGGCGTTGCTCCCCGTGCTGCTCTGTGTGAGATGTCCAAGGTTTAAATTATTGTGGGGCACAGACAGTAAGTACTTTAAATTCATATCAGTGCAATACTAAAAGCATTTGTTTAGTCTTTTTACTTACTGCTTTTTACGGTGTAGTCAGTGATCACTTTTCTTGTTTTTTTTCTCAAGTTAGTGTAAATCATTTTCAAAGATGCCAAAGGAAGTGAATTGTTTTGTCTTGCATTATATTTATTTATTTTTTTAACAAGAGGCTGCTGCTGTTCAGCCGGTTTGCCAGGCGGACAGTAGGAAATTATGGCCAAGTGCTACTTGTGTTAATCTCAAGTTGCTGTCTCTCTCTGTTATACAGGCTAAGAACTTCTTGATTACATCAATACTTCTTTTTTTTTTTTCTTTTTTACCGTGGCGGTAACTGCAAGTTGCTGACTACTTTCCCTTGTTCTTCGCTGCTATTTATCAAAAGGAAGAGCTTGGAAGCCCTCGTCAGGGGCCGTAGCCCTTCTGGGCTCCGGGCCGCAGAGCGCGGCGTGCGCGGGAGCAGCGTGGTGAGCCGGGCACGAGCGCGGTGGCGGCCGGGGCCGTTTGTCCGGCCCCGCGTGCGGGGGGCCCAGCCTGGGCCTGTCTGCTTCTCTGGTGATCGCAATGAGCGCGGCACGAGCGAGGCCCCGTTAAAAAAGATCTAATGCCCTCCTGAAGTTACCTCATCTTTTCTACTGCAAAGTGCTCGTCTTCCTCTTCCCCTTATGTAGAGATGTCAGATACTGTTTTATTTTTCCCCCTCCAAACCTGTGCTTAATAGCAAAGGCGTCTTGATGGCTGGCCGGCCGAGGAGCTGGCGGGAGAGAAGCTTCTCAAGGACTGAGCTGGGGAGGAAGGTTGACCCAGCGTTGAGGAGACGTCTGTGATCTGAAGTCCCTATTAATCTTGGCCAGCGAGTCCTTTATAAGGAATGTTTTTGTATTCTTGGTAATTATTGGAGTTGAATATAGGGATAACGTTGTACCAGGTTAGTTTAACTGCAGCTGGGGCTGAGCCCTAGGAGCTCTGCTGTTAGTGTTCAGTTCAGTTTAACGTTGTGAATCTGTACATATGAAGCCGTAGTTCTGTTTTCTGTCCGACTGAACGTTACTATATTCAGGGCCCTGTGCATTTGTGGCCGTGGGGTTGCCTGCAGTGCAGTCGTGCCGCACTAAGCGAGAGCACAGGACGTGGGCGCAGTTGACTTCTGAGGACAAACCAAGCCTGTGTTTCTTCCTCTGTTGTAGAACTAGACCACCCCAGGCAGTAATTTGGAAGCCCAAGTGGCCACTTATCTTAACAGGGTATCGATAATGGAGCTTAATGATTACTGGAGCATCAGTCAGATTTCACTGCTCAACTGGGTAGCGTGTATCTAGCTCAAGTGGTTGATCTGCTTGCTAGTGTTGTTGCTGGGGAACAAGAAACTCCTCTCGCATCCAGTTCCTCAAAAACGAAGTCTAATCTTGCTCAAAGGTAAAGAAATTCCTTTCCTGTTGCCAAAACCCTCTGTTTTCCCATGGGTGCCAAAAGTCCCAACTATTTGCCACCCCCGCTCGCCAAATTCACAGTTCCTCCTTTGCCTCTTTGAAAACACTGCGTTCCCAGAAGGACAAAATAGTACATTTTGGAGGCACCAAACTTGGAACAAATACTTCTGGAAAGATGCTGCACTTAATGCAGCTCTCCAGGCTGTGTATTCCAAAGTTTGCATTCAAAAAAAGAGGTGATGCTGCAACTCTCCCATTCTCGGCGCCACGGTTTTGTGCAAGTGAGCAGCTCTCCAGCACAGTTCACAGCAGTTTGCCATGGAGTACATGGGGCCTTGACTATATTTGGTTCAGTAGTATTTATGAGAGGAATTAGGTACTAGCGAATATATCAGGATTTTCTTTTTTTCTTTGAGGTATCATTTCTTTGTCAGGTCTTTTCCAAGTAAATGACTACTGGGGCACTGACATAAGGAACAGAGGCTCTCTCTTTGTCTGGAAGGACAAAATAGATGGCCAGAAAGAGAATTGCCTTGTAATGCCAGGCCTGCATTGTGTGGTGTGGGTAAAAGAAACATTTAAACTATGCAAATTTGAGCTTAGTAGCTGTGAATCAGACATGGCACTTCTGAGCATGCGGATTGCTTATTTAATGGGGAAAGGAGGAAGGAGAAAAACATAAATGAACCTGGAGTTTCAAGCAAGAGGGCTTGTTCATGGCATTGGTCAGATGTCGTCCTTGCGAGTGTTTGTTTCTCAGAGCAAGAGGCAACGTAACTGCGTGCACGGCTGCTGTTTCCTTCCTAAATGGTGACAAAAGCAGCAGCGTTTGGAGACTTGCCCAGGAGGGGGAATGTTAAATAACTCAGCAAGTTAGCTTTATTTTAGTGCCTGCTCTTGAGCAGACACAGCAAGGCGTGATGCCCTCTCCAGCTATATCTGGTTTGTAGTAGAAGCTGATTTAGAGGAAAAAAAAAGAAGTGTCTTGATGAGCGTAGCCGCTGTTTTGGGGTTGGGAGACTTTCACGTGGTGGAGTTTGGTGGCCACTGGTGGAGCAGGGACCTTGCAAGTGCAGCTCATCCTGCTGCTCCTGCATCGCAGAGCTAAAGCCTGGGAGCGAAGCTGTGTCCTGGCTGCTGACAGCTGCTCCTGGGAAGACCATGTAGACGTTGTTGCTGTTTGTGGCTCCGTGTTGCTGGCACAGCTTTCCCTTGCGGCTAGATGGCGGGGCGCTTGCTGCTTAGTCCGTGCTAGCTTTCCCATCTGTGGCAGCGATGCGTCGGTAAGAGGGCAGCTCGTTGGTACGAGGGCCGCTTGTCCTCCTGTAGCGCTGCCGTGATGTCGCTGTTGGGTGCACGTGGCCCCGCGCCCGTAATGCGTCCCATGGGGGTCCCGCCGTGGGGCGCCGCGCTGCCCTTCGTGGGCGGGCCCTGGCGCCCGGGCGCCATGTTGTTCCTTCCCTGCTCCCCGCCTGCTTCGTAGGCATCAGCGCGGCGGCTGCCGATGCCGCTTGCCGGCGCTGCACGTCGAGGCGTGCGGCTCGAGCTGAGGAAAGGTCCTGTGGAAACGCTCTTCCCATGCCCTGCGCAGTGCACAGTGGGCGCTTGCTTGTGGCCTCGGCGTCCTACGAGTGTTGGCTGTCAAGGACCCCGCTTCTCGCTTACCGTTTCCATCCCAAATTCTTGACTTTTCTGAGAAATGACCAATAAAGGAGGCGGCAGGAGGTTCGCTGCTGGGTGCCAGGCTTCCTGTGAAGGGGGAGCGGGTGGGCTGGAGCGCAGCATCCGTGTTTTTTTGTCTTGAAAATAAAAACTACACAAACGCTTTTGTACACAAATGATTTTTTAAATAAATACACATTTTAAAAGATGTTGATTTTCACTGGGAATGCTTAACAATAAATGCATGTTTCCCTGAAAACAGTTTTCATTTTATTTCTGGTAATGCAAATTCTTCTGAGATTGGCCTGGAGGCGTCGGACCTTGTGAAAACAAGAGGAAAGGAAGGTGATTTTCATATTGAATGTTGAAAATATTGAAGATGACAATCTGTGTAATGAGGTAAAAGTGTGTATTATTTCAACTTATACCATCTAGGATGATAGAGTAAAAAAAAAAAGTGTATGTACAGTCTCTTTTAAAGAAAAACACAGTGTGTAATGTCTGGGTTTTATGAAACAAAAGAGGTAACTTGCAGGAAAAAGTTTTATTTGGGTTTTTCCGTGTCCCTCAGGCTTGTTTCACCTTTGTGTTTAACACACGCTTTCTATAAAGCGCAGTTGGTCTCTAGGGCAGGACGGTTGCGCTGAGGGGCGCAGCGCTGGTGGGAGCAGCGCTGCCCACCCAGCGGCGGCTGCGGCACCAGCTGCGCCTGCGGAGCTGCCGCCTGAGGCCTCCCGTGCCCTGGCTGCCTCAGTGGAGTGGAGCAGCAGGCACGATGGTGTCTATGCAGCTGGAGCTGGGCCTGGGCTGCTGCCATGGACCCCGTTTTGAGCCTCTTTGCTAGGGAGGGGTTTTGCTCGCTCAGCCTGCCTGCCAGTCTGGACAGGGGTAAGAAATGTGTTGCCTTGTTCTTAAAGCGGGAGCCTGATGTAGGCAGCAGCACTTGGAGGTGTCCTGCAGCCCTGTAACTCGTCCAGGAGCAGAGACAGGGAGTGAGTTTATGGCTGAAGCGAAGCAGTGCCACTGGCTCTGTTCCTCGTGTACCGTGCTTGCCTTTCTGTGGCTGTGCTGCCTGCTGACAGCTCCAGCTCTGAGCAGGTACCACTCATAACGTCAGTATAGCAAAGCTGGGAGAGAAAATTGTTCAAACGTCAAGTCTGGATCTGGGGGCTGGAGCACCAGTGTCTGGTACAATGTCAAATAAATTACATTGCTTCATTTAGTGGCTGCTTTGTGTTGAAATATGTGAGTTCTTTAGAAGTGTAAAATTCTTCCAGTGTAAAATAAGTGTTTTTTGGCTGATGATGGGAGGAAAACGGCCAGCTCACTGCCGGGGCAGAGAAGCTGGAGAGCTGTGGGGCAGAAAAGGATCTGGGGGTGATGGTTGACC